TTTGTTTCTTTCATTCATTTATAATTTATTTTGATATAGTCACGAGAAAAAACATCGCTTCTACATAAAAAGCCGATATATTAATAGCACTTGAAATTATTATGTGTGGGTGAATCACTCATGGTACTAACTACGAGTTGATCAGAATTCGACAAAATTTCTTCTTAATAAACAGAACAAAACATATAAATGGAGTTCATAAATAAATGCTGCTTATTTAATTTAAGTGGCGATTGCTGCTTTGACCAATTTATCTATATTATAATCCTCTTCAGCATCATTTCTATCTTGCCTACTTGCTATTTGATTATCATTTAGTTCTTTCTTGTTCATCTTCGTCTAATAAACCAAGTTCAACGAATATATTTGTTACATCCCTATCTTCACAATTCACTAAAGATGATATATTCAATAATTCTTTATCGTCAATATTGTTTTCGCTAATTAATTCTGAGTCAGTTAGCTGACATTACATTCGATGGTTCTCATTTATAAGATCATTAAATGTTATTGTTGTTAAATCAGATAGTGGAGACAGGCATGGGTATCACCATTTTCTTACTTTTCTAAATTTTTACATAAATCTTAAAGATCTGGATATACAAATTTTTCTTTGAGTCATTAAAGATACAGAGCAAAAATTTTTCTACAAAATGAGACGTCGGCTAGCTCTTTGTGATGGTTTTTTTATGATTTTACATGTATTTTAAGACGAGCACTGTATTTGAGGTCTGTCTCTTACTGGATTTTACCACAGTTTTGATCTATTGACTAAATGCAATAATTCATATGGTTGAATGCACATTGAAAGTTATATCTAGTGGCATACTTTTTTTTTATCTTCAACAGTTCCTATTAGTAGAGAAAAAACTTTTAATCTTGTAAAAATGGCGGGAAAATGGGTATTATGTATCCTACTTTTCACAAATGAACCCTTTTAGTTTTGCGTTTAAAAACTGCACATCGCTCAATGCTGGCTACTCACGTCAAAAGTTGATAAAATTTTTTTCCCTAACCGTCTAAAATAGATTTCCTAAAAGGAAAGTTAGACTACTCGTGAAAGGTACCACGAGTGGATTTGTATATGATTTTAGACGGTTAGGAGGAAAGAATTTTATCAACTTTTGACATGAGTAGCCAGCATTGAGTCATGCGCAGTTTTTAAATGCAGAACCAAAAAGGCTCATTTGTGAAAAGTAGAAGAAACGAGCTATAAACGAATCAATCATAGGGGTTTGATAGTTTTCCAGAAAATCGAAAAATACGAAAGTTTGTGAAAATTCACATTTTTTTGTAACAACAGTGCCTCTCAACACAGTATTTCGCCTCTAGTTTTTTGAAAAAGTACTTTCACAGAGAGTTGCTGCAGGTTAGTGGTTATTTTGTATGCTCTTTCGAATTAGATGTAAATAAAATAAAGTTTTTCAAAATAGAAAAAGTGGAATTTGGAAGGGCGCGGAAAACTTGTAATGTTTTACTGGACGACGCAAAAACACTATATCTATCATCAAAGTTATATCAGCACTGTGCTTGTAATACATATAGATGAAACCTTGTAATCAACACGCCACATAATAACAGCATTCGTTTACAAGAAAAAATGTGTCATATATTTTCCTTTTCTTTTATATTCTCATAGTTAGTCACCATGAGTGATTCACCCACACATAATAATTTCAAGTGCTATTAATATATCGGCTTTTTATGTAGAAGCGATGTTTTTCTCGTGACTATATCAAAATAAATTATAAATGAATGAAAGAAACAAAAATCTTCTTAAACTCTATTTGTATGAATCACACAACCTATTACAGTTTCGTTTTGTTCATTGCAGAATAGTTTAATGGAATGTAAGAGATTGATTATTCAAAAAGCAAGTTTAAAATTCAAAAACTAGGACCACAAAAATATTTATAATGATGTTGTTGTACATATGCGAAAACATTCAAAATAACTGTTAAAAACTTTTATAGCTAATGCTTCTAACGTTTTTGAAGACATCATCGTTCAATAACTTTGGTTGTATGTAATGGGTTTTTTCCCATTTTGCAGAAGAATGAATGAATTTATTCAAGAAGTACAAACAACGTAAAATGTTTTTTTAATCGAAAGAAAGGTAGATCAGAAACAATTATACACAGTTTCTCAAAAGATTATAAAACAATTACCCTATTATCTATCACTACGCAATAGGTAAGGTCACTGCTGAAACTGTAGGCTTACATATGACAATTGTCGTTATGTTCTTCTTCGCAGGTTCGTATTTATTCATTTCTGTTTTTCCAGTTACAGATACGTTAATTCATGCCAAGAGATCAACGTCCACAGTGGATTATTAATTCTCATATAAAAGATGTTGATTTACATGGTTGTAAAACCATTGAACTTGCTCTCGAGCGAGTTCAACAAACATTAGCCGCTGCTAAAAAAAATGACAATATTTCTTATAAGTTCATAGCTGGTGGTGGTACACATTCGAACGTCAATCAATATGGAAGAACGTATAAAGAGTCGGGAAACTGGAAACGTGATATGAAACCAATATTATTTGAAGCTGTTCAAAATTATTTAGAAAAGGTTCCGAACGAATTTCATGTGTATACGACATCATGTAATGAAAAAGCAACAGAAGTCTATGTTCGATTTAAAGGTGAAAAATAATATAAAGCGAAAAGTTGCAGGACAAGCACTAATGTCATCATATATATCTGATGACCTTCTGCCACCTGAAGTTAAATCAGACGATGAAGATGACGATTAGGTGGAATTGTATACTGATAAAATAATATTGATTTATTTGGTGTCATATAATGTTGTATTTTTTGTCTTAGCAAAAATGCCTGACTTCGTGAATAAAACACAAATTCAAATAATCATATTGTGATTACGGAGAAATCCGCTACGAACCACTACGACGTCGTGTGTTCGCTTTTGACATGAAGTTGCGTTAGCGTACGATGCACATTTTAGGGTTTCTATTTAAAACTCCTATGAATTTTCGTTCAAACATTGCCTGGAGTTGGGAAACGTCTCATTTTGATCGGAAATGTTCACTATGCCACCTAGCTACTTTTCTGTCGATTTTATATTGATAATGTAGAGCTGATGCAAAAGTCATTTTTTTCAGCGCTTCAAAGAAACTACCTGAAAACCTTACAGAAAGGTTCATGTCGTTGAATGTAAGAAAGGATTTAACAAAATGTAACTTTAAGGATTTACGTACGGTTGATCCATCAGCGTTACCAACAAAAACGTTCATTCAAGCTTGTCAAGCATATATGTGTACTAGTTCTGGTGTAGATATGGTAGCAGAAGCTTGCTAAGGTCATGTCTTAACAGCAATGTTCAAAAAAGTCGGTGTTCACAGTGTGAATGACAATTGAGCGATAGACAGTTCTATTCATCATGTAAAAATGCATCGAATGGTGTATAAAACTTCATTGCTCGCATATGAAAAGAAAAAGAAAAGAAACATTCTAACTAAGGTTAAGCAAATTCAAAATCGGACCGCTTTAGTTTTTTGACTTTTTTACACAGGTAGATACACCTCGTCGAGCTGAGACTTAAAAGTCTTTTTTCCTGAATCTACCGGAAAAACTGATTTAGAAAATAGTTTTTTGAATTTTTTAAATAAATTTTTAACGCAAAAGACTCGAGTGAGACTTTGATGAGAAAAAAGGCTCGAGATTGCCTTCGAAAATACTAAGTCTGTTTTGAAGAGAGAGCAGCAGATGGAAAAAACACACGAAGCATTCTTGTGCTGGCAGCCATTGAGAAAAACTAATTTTGCCATATTTTCTAATTTTGGTAAACTGTCATAAAAGCAATGAGCACGCTTGCCACCTCTACTATCGTGAACGAATTCATCATTGTCCCCGTCAATAAATGTTTCTGCTCACTGCTTTGCTGTTTCACCTTTTGTTCCGCCGATTTGATGCAGAAATTTATCGTTATTCCTAAGTGGGTTAGTGTTAAATACATCAAAACTGAAAGTAATCGCTATGAAGTCGGACTTTTCAACATTTCGAGAGCGAGGACTTGGAAATCCCGAACATCGCACCTTTGAGCGAGAGGGTCTCGGAAGTATTCGACGGCTTGAAAGTTTTCTCGAGGACTCACTATCTGAGATCCGAGCTGTCGAAATGGATACCCCACGAAAGCTTATATCGTGAATCCGAAGTGCCATTTTCCGAGGGTTCTAGCCCTCGGCGAGGCCCTATTTGCGAGTACTCGCCGCATCCCTCGAACGACGTTTTTCATCTGCATGGGCTGTTAGTCTTAGTAAAAGGTACGATCAAATTTTAAGCGGTGTATCTGAAGACATACAATGGCTATAATTACTTAAAAGAATTATATTTCTTAAAATATATATTTTGTCTATGTAAAGTGTTTTATTTAGATGTTTCGTAACATCTACTGTACACATTACAATGTGAAAGAGAATGGTTTTTGTATATATACATTTTATTTTATTCATTTTATGTTGGAATTTTATTTTATGTTTTACTGAAGAAGATTACACGTTGCAATCGAAACGTCTAACTGTTGATTATAAATAAAAAAATTTACGAAGTCATAGTATATATTTTAAGAAATATAATTTATCTGACTTCGTATATGAACAAACCCTTATTCTGTTCTTAAAATATTTAAAAGAAATCGAAATGATGGAAACAGTCTTGCGCAAATTGTGGCACAGTGCTTCTGATTTATTCGAAGCACCGATTAATAATCGATGTTGGAGCATTCAAGAAAATCGTACCGACTTGGTTATAATAAATCTCTCAGAACTGCGAAATATTTCATTTTGTGGAGAAAGATTCAGACTACAAAGGTAAAGTGTTAAAAGGGTTTAACGTTGTATATAGAAAAAATATTATTAATCAAAAACGCACAAAAGTCGCCAAAAAATAATCGATCAGCGATTTCTTTTGCGATTTTGCACATTTTTGAATATTTCAGTTTCTGTCACAAATAACATTAAAACTTTTTTAACACTTTACTTTTGTAGAACGAACCTCTCTCAAAGTGAAATATTCCGGGGTTCTGACAGATTTTACTATAACCAAGTCGGAACGGTTTTCCTGAATGCCCCAGCATCGATTATTAATCGGTGCACCCCTAATTCGAAGTAAATCAAAGTCATACAGTAAACAGATGGAAAATTCACGAAAGTTTTCTTCATGAAGTTCTGAAATTATAGTTTAGGTATAATTTTGTGAAGTATTTCGCCGTGCATCTTTTAAAAAAAGCATCGAGTCTCGGAAACATATCCAGACCAAGTTATAATTTTTTGCAAATGACCGCGAACGTTTTGCTCAACCTGGTAGACAAACTCCCCAATTTAAGAAAGTGTAGGCAAACAGCGACAGCCACACTTTAAACTAATAACTATACTAACGCTTATCACTATTCAACAAAACATATTTTTTACATTTACAAAATATATTTTTCTAATACACGCTTGAATTTACCTTCTACACTTTTTTGACAAAATGTCTTTTTTTCACGGAGAAAATTTCGAAATACCCGAAAACCGTTAGGGTTTTTGGAAAATCTATAACTCAGCTTCAAAACATTTATGCATCTTTATGCTTGTTTTACAAACGCAAC